TCTAATTATTTTTTTTGATATACAATTGAAGTGTCTATTTGACCATTTTTCCTAATTCTTTATACAAAACAATCATTTTTATTTATTTATTTTCAAATTTTATCTACTGTCCTACTGAGATGCATTACTTGGACACCTGGACAAATACATCTCACATGGATTTGATCTCATTTACAAACATGTCTCTTAAACTCGTTATTGAATATGTATTTAAAAATAAATGAGAAAATTAATCCAAGTAGTTGCTTCCTAATACTCCTATCAACATTAATTTAATTGCTAGTCCATTGTGTATCCCTTTGGTTTATCTCACCCCACTAAAAGTTTCATATTTGCTAGTCCATTGTGTATCCCTTTGGTTTATCCCACCCCACTAAAAATTTCATATTTATACGAGTTAAGCTCTAACTATACTACAACAGTTAACTCATGAATGTACATTTGACCCAAGCCTTATATATTAGTTCAAATTGTTATTAATAGCAAGTGTGTGATACATCTTCCCTGATTGCTTAAGACTACATGTTCTTGTGAAAGTCTCAAGTGTTGTCTCAATCAACAATCCACAAATGCATATTTACTGATTTTACTCATTGCCTCAAAATGTAATGTTTCCTCAGTCAGCGTTCTACTGCCTCTTGTTGACGATTTACAGAGTGTAACGAGTTAGACTATTATGCAACTAGTTCGTCTTCTGACTTTCGGCTGGAGGGATACCCTTAGAGAACCAAAAAAAATTATGCAACTAGTTCATGGCTATAGATTTGACCTAAACCTTATAAATTACTCCAAATTTTCATTAATATATGATGCATCACATGCTTTAGCTTAAGATTCAATATGCAAAACAAGTCACAAGTTTCATACACCTTACCCATAATGCCAAAAATAGTTGGAGAGCATTAAGCAACCCAAAACTTGCTTTTAGCTTTTGAAACATGGCTTGTGTTTCATTGTTCAATAGATTTAATGCAACCTCCCAACTTGCTTTAATTTCTTATGAGTTTTATGATGTATGGTTTTGTTTATGCTTCCAAGGATTTAAGGAACAATTCAAAATTTATTTATTTTTAAAAACAACACATGGACTTATTATTAGATTTCATACAAAAATACTTATATTTACGATTAAAGAACTTTAAATTTAATCGTAAGGAGGGGTGAACAACAGGACACAATGAGTGTAGCTAGAGTGGCGATTTCCTACCACTTGACTACTTGAAGTGCAACGTGGATGCTGCTTTGTTCCCAAGTGAGGATAAGGTTGGCTTCATTGTAGTATTGATGGATTAAACATGAGCTTTTATTGCGGCTTGTAGTAACGGTTTGTCGTGTGTCTATGATGCATTCTTCGTTGAGGTTTTGGCTTGCAAGAATGACTCTCTTGACTGAAAAGGTGCGATATCAAGGTAACAGTGGAGACCAATTGTCTCAACATTTCAAATGGAATTAACTGTAGTTTAGTTTACGTACTCATCCTATGTTGGTCTAGTTTTAGAAGAGTGTGTTTATATGGTTCAATCTTTAGGCAATACTTTAGTTAGACATGTGAAACAGTCAGCGAACAACACAATTCACACCTTAGCAAAGACTACTTGCTCTCAATTTGGTCATATGAGTTGGTCGGGAGTACCACCTTTATGAATTCTTGACTTGATGTAATAATATTTTTTTAGTTGCTTTGAAAAAAACTTTAAATTTTTTATGGACTGATAAGTGCCAAAGAGAGTATAATTCACGGGGTACTTTAGAGGTTAATTGTGTATTAATTGTGTCATTTTAAAGCCTATTTTGTGGATATTATAGTTTAAAGTGCTTAAAGTATCAAGGGAAGGGCTAATGATGGGACACTTGTACATTTTAGGGAAATGGAGACTAATTGAGGACAAGTTGGCTATTGAGAATCTGAAAGTGGAAGCAAACCAGGCAAGTGTGGTACGAGCTCCATACGCATGTAAGTGGGACGTATGAGAGTTGACAGAACGGATCACGACTATTGATTGAATTTAACTTTAGCATTGGGTTAAACGACTTCCAAGGGTCACACTACAATTCATTGATCTTGATTCATCTTGATTTTACTTAATTACTTGTAAATATTTACTTGCTTTCTATTCTACTTGTTCTTGCAAAAATGCTACTTGATGATCTCCTCTTTAGTCTTGAGACCTAGCTTCTTGATGTCTCTCCGCCCTTATACTTACCCATGTTCTTCTCAACTCCCACGTGCCATCCTTGAGAGACGACAACCCGAGAGTTTCGCTCAACCTTCTTCCCATCTACCACTAAACTTCAATTTGTCATCGACCAACATGTAAGCAAAGTAGTTTGGTGTAACATTTAATTTGCCTAATCCATTTAGTAATTCAATGAAGTAGTGGAGTTGGAACCCATCATTTTCTTATTTAGCAATCAAAGACCACCATTGTGCCTAGTACAATTGAGTTTCAAACGATCCGTCAAGGTTGCAAAAAACGTTACGCGCCTCCTAGTTGTCGATTTATTTTTTAATTTTTTAATTTATTTTTTATTTTTTAAAAAATAAAAAAATTTAAAAATAAAAATTGTAAAATTCATTAATAAAACATAAGGTTCCTATAGTTTTTTCTTACAAATTATTTACGTAAGTGGTTGTAAAATCTTTCAAAATATTGTTGAAACTATCTAAATACATAAAAAATTAAAACTATCTATACGATTTGAAAAAAAAAAATTGTCCAAAACGGACAACCGAATCAAAAGTTATGCATTCCAGAACTTTTAACACTTTACAACGCCCGCAATAAATAAATAAATAAATTAATTAATTAAATCGCCGAACCAACCGGCCGGCCGCGGACGAGGCCGATTCTGGCCTTCCTCGCGGCAGCCGACGGCTGCCTAACGCCTAGGCGCGATTTTTACAACTATGAACGATCATGAGTTTAACTTAACAGGTTGATAAGTTAAAAATTAATTGAAAAACAAGTTCAAGGCTTCAACTTCAAACTAATTTGCTTTAAAATTCAACTTTTATTTATTTAACAAAACCAACAAACTTAATGTTCTTTACAAATTAACTATTTTCTTCAAAATGAATCATATGCTTTTTAATATCCAGTTTCTTAGAATTGGCATATATAATATGATTTTTCATGACAATTTACTTTCATTATCCAATGCTCCTCCAACAAAAGCAGAGGTCATGCCCAATTGTTGCCTCTAAAAAAGTACCCCTTGAAAAATAACGTACCTAGAAATTACGAGAAACTAAAGAGGGTGGGTTAGTTAAAAATCTCTAACCCTGTTTGCCTAACAGAGCCAGGTTGAAAGCATGAAGTTGCTTAAACTCAAGCCCCCCATACTTCTTGGGGGCACTGAGCTTATCCCACACCAACCAATGAATGCCTCCCCCGTCAAAACTTGTTCATCTTACGCTCTAGCCCTTCATAGAAGGACTTAGGTAGCTAGAAGACACTCATGACATACATGGACATAGCCTGTGCCACAATTTTAAGGAGCACATCTTTCCCTGCCCGGGATAGCAATTTTTTGTTCCAAGTCCCAACTCGATCCCCTATTTTATCCTCTATTTAATAAAAGACAACCCTCATATTCTGCTCCACAAACGAGGACAACCCCAAATATTTCTCATAATCCTATGTCTGCCCCACCCCCAAAACCTCTGTCACCTTCCCCCTCACCCAACTTGCGTATTCCTGCTAATGCAGATACAATACTTGTCAAGGTTAACTAACTGTCTAAACATGTCTTCATAAACGCCTAAACACTCCTTTACCTCCCGAGCTTCCTCCACCTTCACTATGATAAATCGAAGGCTATTAACAACAAAAATTAGGTGTGAGACCGGTGGAGCCCCTCTAGCCACCCTGCACCCATGAAGCCCCCTTATCCTACGCTCGCAACAACAGCCGAAGTCCCTTTGCACAAATGATAAACAAATAAGGCAATAAAGATCCCCTTGCCTCAAACCTCTCGTAGGCACCACTATCCCTGCCACATCCCCATTAACCATAATATTATATCTAACAGTCGACACACAAGTCATGATCAAATCCACCCACCTCCTCGCAAATCCAAACCCCTCCAACATCATCCTCAAAAACCTCATTCCATCCTATCGTATGTCTTAGCAATGTCCAACTTTAGAGCAACCCAACTCACCACCCCTATTTGCTTCTAATGCAAAAAAGTCCAACCTTCGCCACCACAAGGATTTATCTGTGTCTGTCCGAAATGAATGTACTTTACAACCCGACACCACCTCCTTAAGTAAGCCCTTAATGCTATTGACAAACATCTTTATCATTACATTACATAAGGCAATAGGTGTGAGATTCAATACTCCGATACTTTCCGAGCTAAATTATGATAATTAAATGATATTTATTTATTCAGTCATTAATAATAATAATAATAATAATAATAATAATAATAATAATAATAATAATAATATAATGTAACCCGTATGAGTAGCTCAACTGGTCACAGAGGTGAAACTTTGGAAGAATGACCAGGGATTACATCCTCCCAAATGCATGCTCTGTCGGAGGGAGCAACCTCTCAAAGTGAGGGGGGTTCCTTGTGCGCAGTGAGCACATGTCTAGCCTCTGTGGTTCATGTTCAGTTGAGTTACCATGATTTACATCTTCCCAAATGCTCTGTCGGTGTGAGCAACCTGCGCACAGGTCTAGCCTCTGTGGTTCATGTTCAGTTGATTTACCATGATTTACATCCTCCCAAATGCTCTGTCGGTGTGAGCAATCTCTCAAAGTGAGGGGTTCCTTGTGCGTAGTGAGCACAGGTCTAGCCTCTGTGGTTCATGTTCAGTTGAGTTACCATAAATGCTCTGTCTGGTCGGGATGCGGGGACCCTTATGATTGGGGTTCAGCCTTCTTTGGAAGAATAATATAATATAATGTATAATAAAAGTAAATATTCATTTTCACATTAATAATTTACTCCATATGTTAGTATGTTACAACATTTAAAACATACCACCAATATTACTTCTCAAATCCAGATTTCGCAGAGGAAGCTCGCGCTGTAACAATGAGCAAAACCTCTACAGTTTCTCTCCCTTGATCTCATTCCGTCCCACTACCAGTGATTCCAATTGCACCCAAGCTTGCTTGTTTGCTTCGTCCCTCTTTCACTCTGATCTTCCGGTTCGGTTATTCAATCGGTGCAGCATCTATTTCCTCTGTGAAAAATGGTGAGTCTTTCTGTCTTCTCTGCTCTTTCGGCATTTTTCTGTATTCAGTTACGAGCTAGATCTGATTGGATTTGGCGAGGCACGTCGATCATTGTTTGGAGAGTGGCGGTTTTATTTTCACGATTCTCTTGCGAATTGCGTAGTTTAGGATTCTGGTTTGAGCGCTGGGAGTTGTAATTCGCTGAACATTTTAGTGTACTGAGATCTGGTACTGTTGTGTTTTGGCTGACTCAATTTTGTTTCTTTTTGTTGCGACCGTGAAATGCTGCAGCCTCTGAGGTTGGAAATTAAGGTACTATGCTATATATCAATACATGCATTGATGTGTTTCTATAATATTTTCAATAACAATATGCTCGATGCTGACTTCGATTGTTGCGTCAGAGAAAACTTGCTCAAAGATCAGAAAGAGTAAAGTCAGTGGATCTACATCCAACAGAGCCATGGTAACTAGCTTTTATTTTCTTATCAGACAATGCCATTTAAGTTTTATGTATATGAATGCTTAGGCTTTACAGTGTCATGCTAGTTTATATTTGGACCTATACTGCTGCTAGGAAATTACTTTAAAAACATGCTAATGTTCTACTTATTAAAAAAACAAAAAAACTTATCCTAGATTAAAATCTATTCTGATGGATGAAGACTATTAGCTTCAGGTTATTCAACTACTTATTCACTGGTCCTACTCTTGTTATTTCTCCAGGATATTATCAAGTTTATATTCAGGGACTGTTTCCATCTGGAACTACCAAACTCAGGTAAATGCAACTTTACTGATGCTTGTGTTGTATTCCATTTTATGTTGTTTTGGTTGGTGCTATTTAGTAGCCAACTGCCAACTTTTTTCACTCTTCTTCTCATGCGTTTTGCCTCTTACCTGGATAAAAATAGTGTTCTTTCCTCCCAAAAACCTTTGTTAAATATGATATGCATGTGCTTTTATTTACTGCTGACAGTGGGTCTTTCATCTACTGCAACTAGTGAAGTATTTTGTTGTTATATTTTAGGGACATGAATAAAATCCATAATTGGAGTAGTTGCAGCCATAATAGTAGTTATTTTTGTTGGTGGTGCTGAATATTTAACTCAGTTTTCTTCGATAAACAGGTTGTCAGTTATCAAATGCTAATGAATGCTTCCATCTTGTTTGTTGCAGACAATGGCAAAATCTTTTGAGGTCACTGATCTACCAGGTGGAGTAGGAATGAGTTGAATGTTTTGTTGGTCAGAATATGTATAAGCAACGTTTTGCCTTGATGAAGGTTGGCTGTTCTGTAACACCTACTTTATTATCTTGCAGTTAGGTCTGCAAAGTTCATAGCACGTAAGCAGTGGGTTGTCGCTGGTGCTGATGACATGTTTATTCGGGTATACAACTACAATACCATGGATAAAGTCAAAGTATTTGAGGCTCACACTGATTATATTAGGTGTGTAGCTGTGCATCCTAATCTTTCATATGTGTTGTCATCTTCTGATGACATGCTTATAAAGCTATGGGACTGGGAAAAGGGCTGGATATGCACTCAAATTTTTGAGGGCCACTCCCATTATGTGATGCAAGTGACATTTAATCCAAAAGATACCAATACTTTTGCTAGTGCATCTCTTGATCGAACAATAAAGGTAAGGGTTTTTCTTGTTCTTTTTTCTCTGTACTCTCAAACACAATCATTATATAAATTGGTTGAGTTTGACACCTGGAAGATGCTCATACTTCTATTTATAGATTTGGAATCTTGGCTCACCTGATCCAAACTTTACCCTGGATGCTCATTTGAAAGGTGTTAACTGTGTAGACTATTTCACTGGTGGTGATAAACCTTACTTAATTACTGGTTCTGATGATCATACTGCTAAGGTTTGTCAGTCATTTCTGTTCTCACTTTTTCTTTTTTGGTTGATCAGAATGGTGCAATCTGAATTCTATTTATATTTGGAACAGGTGTGGGACTACCAGACTAAAAGTTGTGTACAAACTCTTGAAGGGCATACACATAATGTCTCTGCTGTATGTTTTCATCCTGAACTACCTATTATAATCACGGGTTCTGAAGATGGTACGGTTCGTATATGGCATTCAACAACATATAGGTAAAGTTTTCATTAAAGGGTTCCTTGGTGATTAGTAGTGTTGTAGTTAAGCTGAGCTGAAATAAATAGGGCTCAACTCTGTGTGTGCTTTATTGAGCCCTGGAAATGAAAGATTGGCCTCAGCCTGGTAATCATTTTGGCATTTCAACAAATAGGTTGTATGCACAAGGAAACCACTTGCTATAACTGGCTCACTTAAAGATAACAATTTTACCACATCTTTATCCTAAATTAGCAAAGAAAAGAAAAATAATGGGCATGTGGGAATACAATTGAGTCGCTACATAATTCATAGTTGATATTAATATACTATTCCATATTTCCATTATGTCATGGCATAGTAGTTGGTATAAGTGGAGAAATTGTTGGGGACTTCAGCATCTGTCAACAACTCCACAACTGTTTTGTAAAACAGGATGTCAAAGCTGTTATATTGAGGCTTTACATATTTTAATCTTGGCAAAATGGCCAATCTGAACATAATTTATATTGGATAGTGCAATGCAGCTTATGGTTACTATCATTGGGATGGTGTTCTCCATAATGTTTGCTAACAGCATATTTGGGAGAACAGCATTGGAACATGAAAATGAACTAGGGGGGTGGGGGTTGAAGGCTGAGAGAGAGAGAGTGTGTGTGTGTGTGACAACTAGGTGAAAAAATTTAGGTTCAATAGCTAATTAACTCGTCAATGTTTTTTCATGATCACAATAGGATCTTTTCTTTTAGAAGAACTTTGGTTGATATAAGGATTGAAATATTGAATAAAATGTCTTGACTGGGACAAGTATGAACTATCTTAGGGTGTGTTTGGTCTGCACATGGGAATCGGAATCGGAATTGGAATCAAATACTTGGTAATGGTAATGGGTTTTGGTGAAATTATTTTGCATGTTTGGTAGTAGGGTGGAATTGGAATGATTACCAATATTGATGTTTGATTGTGTATGACCCTATAATGGGAATAGATGTTATAAAAATACAAAAATAAAAAATCAAGGCAATTGATCATATAATGACATCCAAAGCATCAATATGAACAAAAAAAAAAAAAAAAAAAATCTAAAAGTACTAATCCAAACTTAAAAATTAGATTACCAATAAGATGGAATGATATCCCTTTTTAATTAGGGAATGGAATTTTTAATTGAAGTGGTAATCAAATCCCATAGTTGTGTTTTAAAAAGTTGTCAACCAAACACTAACTATGATTTTGATTCCCATTTCTAGTGTGTAAACCCATGAACCAACACACCCTTATTGTTGTTAATCATAACCAGTTGGCATACGTAGAGCCTTTCAAAAAGGCCACTCTGAATCACAATATATTCACTTCATAACAGTATCAGTTTATGTAAGCATGACATGCTATATGTTGTCTCTGCATTAGGACTACTTAAATCTTTTGCTTCTCAATTCTTAAGCTCTTTTTGTGTTGATGTCATATCTGCTACCAATTATGGAGTCTACTTAAATGGTTGCATTTTCCTGCAGACTTGAGAACACATTGAATTATGGTCTTGAAAGGGTCTGGGCTATTGGTTATATCAAAGGTTCAAGAAGGTCAGTTCTTCTTTCATACTGCACCTATGTCACTGCCTATATGCATTTGTTATAGTATGAAGCTTCTATTTTACATTTTAATTTAGATGGATGAAATTCCTTGTTCTAAATTTTGGGATGTTAGTGTTGGACTTGGATGTCACTCTTTTAGATAGGAAAGTTGGAAATATTTGCCTTAATGTTGATACTAATTTTAAAAATGTGTTAAGGTTGGGAGAGCAGTGAAGAGAATGAGTAGGCAAATCATTTTCCTATCATCTTCTACATTTTTTCTTACTAAACAATATTTTCAAATTTTGTGCTAAATGGACAGGGTTGTGATTGGTTATGATGAGGGAACCGTTATGGTTAAAATGGGCCGAGAAGTACCTATTGCTAGTATTGATAACAGTGGAAAAATCATATGGGCAAAGCATAATGAGATTCAAACTGTCAATATCAAGAGTGTGGGATCAGATTACGAGGTATTGCATGATTTCCATCCTACTTCAGTGACAACACTTCGACAACTAAAATCATTGTGGTGAATCAAGTACTTGATTTATGTCTCAGGTCACTGATGGAGAAAGATTGCCTTTGGCAGTCAAGGAATTGGGAACATGTGATCTCTACCCACAAGTGAGTTTGGTTTACTTTCTGAACCTAATATTTGGTTTTGTGTGAGAATGGTGTTTCAATTTTGAAATCCTGATTTCATGTTATGGATTTACCTTTGGATTATGTTGAGCCATTCTCCTTTGAAACTGTGCAGAGTTCATAAGTGGGCCTTATGTACTAGTTGTCAAAATGTTCCTACCTATCTATTACTCTAAACCTGAAGTGCCACCCCGTAGAATGTAAGAGTGTTGATTGGCACCAAGTTTAAACATCATAAAAATGGCACTCTAGCTCAATGACCGCAAACAATGTTTAGTTACAGACTGTGTATAATTTATACTCTGTTTTGATCAGTGTCGTTTGTGTATGTGCTTTCTTTTTATTTACTTGAAAAGTTTGTTGGGTTTGTCCTTTTATTTGGATAACTTTTGAGATTCAGGCAAGCTGTGTTATTAGTCTTAAAACTTCTTTTGACATCACTCCATCTTGACATTACAGAGCTTAAAACATAATCCCAATGGAAGGTTTGTTGTTGTTTGCGGAGACGGGGAATACATCATATACACAGCTCTAGCTTGGAGAAATCGGTCTTTTGGCTCGGCACTTGAATTTGTTTGGTCATCTGATGGAGAATATGCTGTGAGGGAAAGTACATCAAGGATTAAGATTTTCAGTAAAAATTTTCAGGTAAAATATCTTAGCTTTGGACCCTAATACCCTATTTGGTCATTTGCTTTACTGGTGGTTATTAATCTTAATATCTTGTTCCATTCACTATGCCTACCCTACATTATGTTTGTTTTACACATGTTTTACTCCATTTCACAATCTTGTGGTGCCTTTGAGTTATAGTTTCTCTTTTAATCATAATGTCCTTCAGGAGAAGAAGAGCATCCGACCTACATTTTCTGCTGATCGCATATATGGCGGTATTCTTTTGGCGATGTGCTCAAATGATTTCATTTGCTTTTATGATTGGGCTGACTGCAGGTTGATACGGCGCATTGATGTTAATGTTAAAGTAAGGATAAGGTGATGGGTGGTTATTTGTTAGGGTAAGGCTACTGGTTTACTCGATAATCATTTGCTGCTTTGCTTCAACCTTTCCAGAATCTCTACTGGGCTGACAGTGGTGATTTATTGGCTATTGCAAGTGACTCTTCATTCTACATTCTTAAATATAATGTGAGAGCTCTCATTAAGCAATTCTTGATCTCATATATTCACTCTTATATTTAAGAGCTGATTAGATTTGAATTAAATACTTCAGCGAAATGTTGTTTCTCCACATTTTGATGGTGGAAGATCAGTTGATGATCAAGGCATAGAGGAAGCATTTGAACTCCTTTATGAGATCAGTGAACGGGTTAGAACTGGAATATGGGTTGGGGATTGTTTCATTTACAACAATTCTTCATGGAGACTGAATTACTGTGTTGGTGGTGAGGTAAAAAAAATACATTTTTCATTTTTTTTTTTTTTAAAAAAAATGTACTTTGGCAGATTATTTTGTTTCTTCCATTTGAGCACGCAGCATGTTTTATGTGATATTTTCAGGTCACCACAATGTTTCATTTGGACCGTCCAATGTACCTACTGGGGTATCTGGCAAATCAAAGTAGGGTTTATCTCATTGACAAAGAGTTCAAGTGAGTAGGGATTCTCAGTATTTTGATGGAGGGATTAGTTGGATCAATATCTAATAGACTTCTATGTTGTTTTACCCCAGTGTTATCGGATACACATTACTCCTCAGCTTGATTGAGTACAAGACACTTGTGATGCGTGGTGATCTGGAGCGAGCAATTGAGGTCTTATCATCAATTCCTAAGGAGCACCATAATAGGTACATCATGTAGTTAGTCGTTTGTAATTATTTCAACATCATCTAGCAATTTGGAAATGATGATATACTTGCAATTGGGTTTGGAATTTTATTTCTTCTATTGCGTAACAGAAAATGGTCTTTTGGAAGGGTCACAAACTGGGTTCAAGAAAATTGAAGATGCCATTTTGGTACTCTTAACATACTACACTGCATTATCTTGATTCTTTACAATGGCATTAAAGCTGCTTTCTGTGCATTCCTGCATAATACACATTCCAAAATAGGCAAAAAGCACCTGAAAATTAGTTGAAAGTGGACCCATATGTATTCTTTTAGAAACTATTTCCTTTAGTCTTGTTTCCTGCATTTAAATTGTATGTTTAATGATTAAGAAATGGTCTGTCTCAGTGTGGCCCGTTTCCTGGAATCTCGAGGAATGGTAGAGGAAGCATTAGACGTTGCTACTGACCCTGATTACAGATTTGAACTTGCCATACAACTAGGGAAGTTAGACATTGCTAAGGCAAGTGCATCTAACTTTTAGTTATCAAAACATTGCATTCTTCTTTTTCCTTATTTTCATATTCTGTGCTTAGAGTTGTTAAAGTGTTCTTCTTTGTCTTTTATACTTGCAGGAAATTGCTTTAGTAGCTCGTAGTGAATCCAAGTGGAAGCAGTTGGGTGAACTTGCTATGTCTTCCGGAATGGTAATTGTTCAATTGCCATTTGTGCTGACATTGCTTCTCTTGGATCTCTTCAGCTTTCCTCTTGGATCTCTTCAGCTTTCCTTTGTTTGTTGATACTCATCTTGATATAATATATGGAGTAGTGTAATTGCTTTTTGACAAGTTGACTTCACAAAGTTTATGACTTGATATATTTGATTTAGTGCTTCTAATGTTCTACCTTTTCTTAGGCTTTTGATGGCACAACTTCTTTTGTTGTGTTTTGCAGTTAGAGTTGGCAGAGCAATGCTTGAAGCAAGCAAATGACTTGAGTGGTTTGTTATTACTCTACTCTTCTCTAGGAGATGCCGAGGGAATAACTGAACTTGTATCTCTTTCCAAAGAGCACGGGAAAAATAATGTTTCTTTCCTTTGTCTTTTCCTGTTGGGTAAAGTGGAAGAGTGCATTCAGCTATTGATTGACAGGTACTACTGTTGATTGCTTTTTAAGATTCCTCTCAGGTGTGTACTTTTTAGTTTGTAAATTAAAATGAAAACTCTGTCAATATTTCAGCAATCGGCTACCTGAGGCTGCATTTATGGCGCGATCTTATTTACCTAGTAAAGTATCTGAAATAGTTGAAATTTGGAGAAAGGACCTTAACAAGGTTAGTACTTGATCTGCTATCATCTGAAATTCTTCAAAATTTATTGCTTAGTTACGAGCTACATAAAGATTCTGATTATTCAGTATTGGTTTGACACTAAATTCTTGCCCATTATGTCCATTTCAAAGGTCCTTGAAAAGGACTATGTTCTTACCTCAATGGGGTTTCCTTTATTTTTATAGTAAGCTTCAACAATAATCGTTCTGTCTTCTGGGGTGGTTTAGAAAATGATGGGGAATTGGGCGAGAAAATAGTTCTTCGGCCTGTTCTTTCAAATATTTACTCCCAAAAATGAGAAGAAAATGAGGATATAAAATTGGTTTGTTTCTCGACACTCGACATAACCTAGCTCCTCTTTCTTATCACATGCACTATATACATTTTTTAGTCTTCTCTCTCCCTCTCATCCAAACAAAATTTTTTGTCTATTTTCCTTTCCCTCATCTCTTCTCTCCCATTTTCTTTCCCCACTTTCTACCACCCAAACACAACATTATGGCTTGACATATTTCAGTGTTTGAATTTTGGAATACAGACTAACCAAAAAGCTTCTGAGGCTTTGGCTGATCCCAAAGAATACCCTAACCTGTTTGAAGACTGGCAAGTTGCACTTGCAGTTGAATCTACTGTTGCTGAGACGAGGTATATAGGGGCTACTTTTGCCTTCTCCTGTTTTTTTTTTTTTTTTTTTTTTTTTTTTTTTTCTTCTTCTTCTTCTAATTCTTCTGTTGGAGTTTATAAAATATGTTTAGGATATTCCTGCTTTTCTGGCTTTTACTGTTCTGCCATCCCTAAATTGGTTTCTCAGTGTATGTGTATGTGTATAAATATATGTCTAATCCATTGGGAAATTGGTTACTGACTCCATTGTTGTTTGGTTAAGTTGGCTGTCATCATTACTTTCTCATTTCCTCTGCAGAGGTAACCTTCCACCGGCATCTGAATATTTTAATCAAGCTGATAGATCAACAACCAACCTCGTGGAGGCTTTCAGGAACATGAGGATGGATGAAGATGCCCTTCAGAATGGAGACTTGGATCATGAGGTATATATTGTCAATTTTGAAGAGGACTTTATATGCATATTTATGACAAATGAGAAAATGGAAATCAACAATTTACTTTTATATGGATGGCTTTATAGAAAGATGTTGCCTTGTAACCTGTAACTCCTGTTCCATTTTTCATTCTCTATATCTATTTTAAACCTGCGGAGTAACTAATTTTTTTTGACCCTTTTGAAACTTTTTCTATTCTAGTTGCTTAACACTACTTGAGTATCTTCATTTTGTGCTGAGTTTCAGTTTTTCATATTGCTTTCTTGTGCAGGTTGCAGACCAGAATGGGGATGAGGTGCAAGATGATGCTCAAGAAGAGACCGTTCTGGTGGATGCTGACTCCGTGGATGGTGCAGTACTTATTAATGCAAATGGGACTGAAGAACAGTGGGGTACGAATAATGAAGGAAAAGAGTCCGCCTAAAAGCAATTGGCTGGGCCGGTGTGAAGTTCTAGTTTTGTTGCTGGTGATTAGTTCAATTTCTTTTAGCTACTATTTTCTGACTTTTGTGCTTGCTTCCAAATCTAGTTTTTTTCTTTGTCCCACTCTTTTTAACGACTCTTTATAATTCATGATGCTTTCTGATTTTCTGGTGGGTGGGTAGTTAATAATTTTGTAAGACCCTGTTGGAAAGTTCATAAAATTATTGGAGCACTTTTGGGTCTGGGATCTGTCATTGTTTAGTTTCTTGTACTGTTTGTGCTTTGTTTCATTATGAAATCCTTATTTGAATTTGGTTGAGTTTTTAGAGTAGTAGATGATCTTTGGCACATATCCTTCATCCGTTTCTATATATTTCCCTCCTCTCATCCCTTTTGTCCAGCAGTGTATTGTATCCTGTGATGGAGCCTTACTTTCCTCTCCTGTTTTATTGGTTTTGCAGTGCTTACACCACATCAGTGATTCCAGTCAAGAAGGTTGGTTCCAGCTGTATGTAATTCATTAAAAGGTGATAATTGAGTTATTCTCGTTCCTAAATGTAATGTGATTGATGAACTGGATGCTGTTTGATATGGTTCTAGAGCTTCCTGCATTTCCCACATTCTAGAGTTCCAAATATTGCTTGTGCACTCACCTAAATTGAATCAAAAGCAAGGTTTCATGTTTCATTGTGGTCCTAGATTTGATTTGATTAGATTAATCTGTTCATTTTGAAACTAAAATGACAAAACACCTAAAGTTGCTTTTTCACATTATATTTTGGGCATCTTTGTTCCACTTGCTCACTATGGCTTCTTGCTGTTTTACACCAGGCTTCCCGCAATTGTTGTCTTAAAAATATGCACAATCAAGGGACCAAATTCATGGCTCGCTGGCTACTTGTGGTGTGATTTTGTAGCAATGAGTTATGCCAGCATACAGTATACACATCTTCCAAGCTCGAGTTAATAGTTGAGCTGCTCATACTTGTTTTAATTAACATTCTTTGGGTCCGAACTTTTTTATTTTTGATTTTTTTTTTTTTTTTTAAATTTCCAATTTTTACATGCCAGCATGAATGTAGAAACACTCAATATGATAGTATATGATAGTGAAGTTGCAAGATAGTACTGTGATGTTGAGCAATTCATCTTAGGGAGATCTCTTGTAAAGTTGCAAGGTGACGTGGAGAAGATTCTCTTAGGGAGACCTCTTGGTGTCCAAATGTTTAATAATCTAATTGTCACCCTTGTTGTCTAATTGGTCATTTCATTGATATAGCTCCGAAATATCTACTTGGTATTTTTTTAATATCGTTTTGGTTTTGTTATTTTATTTTATAATGAAAATCATTAATAGCAATTTATGCTCAAAGATTTTTATTATTATTATTATTATTATTATTATTATTATTATTATTATTATTATTATTATTATTTTTCGGTTGTTGTTGTCAGTGTACTACTATAATTGGATTTAAAAAATCACTTAATAGAAAATTGATAGATGAAAAAGTTGATTTATAGACAATCGATAGATATATAATGTGACATTAAGAATATTAAAATTTTTTTAGCAATAAAAATATAATGCATTAATATTGTGTGTATCTCCAAACATAAAGCATGTGAAAGGAAAAATAGTTTGGGTGAAATTTTTAAATAGATCTAAAATTATAAAAGAATCCTATTTAGTGTAAATTTATAGTGAAATTGTACTAATATTGTGTCTATAATCAAACGTAAAGCATGTGAACATAAAAATAGTTTGCGTGAGACTTTTAAATAGATTTAAAATTATTAGCAAATTTTATTTAGTAAAAATTTATAGTGAAATTATAAAATTATTAGCAAATTTTATTTAGTAAAAATTTATAGTGAAATTATACACTACTGAAAAAAAGAGATATATTCCAATTCTCAAACGTTTTGAAACACACTAGTAAATACTAAATACTAAATAGTACATTTAGTCTGTGTGTGTATATATATACACAAAAGTTTTTATTTTTAAAAGATTATTGTAGTTTCTTAACTTTTTTTTTTGATCTTAAATTCTCTCAACACAAGCGGTAACAATGGCAGCCATAATGGACGTGTTTTGGTCGACACGGAATGAGATAATCTGGCACGATGCTACAACGGCCATTTTAACGATGCGGCATAAGGTACACACGGCAACTGACTTGGCAGGATTCGTACAATAGAGCTGTGCGTGAGGAGACGATGGCATGTGGCGCGACCTGGAATCCACCACCGAGGGGGAGTCTGAAATGCAATGTGGATGCTGCCACCTTCTCATGCGGTGCCGGCTTCGGCGCTGTTCTAAGGGACCATACAGGCAGGTTCGTGGCAGCGAAGAGTAGCCATGTTGAAGGCATTCATGATCCGTTCACGGCAGAGACGATTGCCGTAAAGGAGGCCCTTACTTGGTTAAAAGGCCTACATTGCTCGAGCATTATCATTGAATCCGATTGCTTAAATTTTTGTACCGCTTTTAATTCTGCTTATTCTGATTATTCGTATGTAGGTTTACTTATTAAGCAATGTTTATCTATTGCTAATGACATTGGTGAAGTGATTGTTTGCCATGTCAAGGGGTCAACGAACCGAGTGACTCACGAATTAGCGCGGGCAACTGGTTCTGTGTTTGCCTTAAGAGAGTGGGTTGTTATCCACCAACTTGTATTTCCGGTTTTTTAAGCTATTAATGAAGTCCTTTTGGTTTTGTTCAAAAAAAAAAAAAAACTTTACTTACTTCCACTTTAGTCAAATACCTATTTGGTTATTTCTACAATTAATTCTCTAAATTATTTTTGCCACCTTTAATACATAATAACTTTCAATATCACATTTTGTTTTGTAGTACAGTATAAATCTCTAATAGAAACTTAAAACAATTGAAATGCAACACATTTTCACTTTGAAACCATATATATTCTTTCCAAAATATATTGTAAACACGATATGTAACACATTATAAATCATTGAATCCCAATCATCTAATTAAGACAAATTTATTCAAAAAAAAAAAGAAACAAAAAAAGAAAAAAGAGTGTATGTCACGCTAATTTAAAAACAAAATAAAATTGTTCCTTTTAAATGTGTATACAACAACTCGACTGAACGGAGCCACGATACTCACTTGGGATTTTTACTTTGGTCCATTTCTTAGTTTTCAATTCCAGCATATAAGCTCTCTTAGCTTCACCATATTTTACACTTGGAATAACCATAATATTCCCCTGCCACCCTGTCACCCATGCCACAGAGTGTGTATATTTTGGGACTTGTGTGACGAACACCCACGTGGTGTCCTCTAATGCAACCACGTCACGTATTCCCTTGATTGTGTATATTTTCTCGTCAATCTCCACGTAGGTACACTGCGGATGTATGATGAGATAGTCTGTGACTATGTTGGTTATGTGCCATTGACGAGTGACGAGATCGAGTGTTTCTATGATTTGTTTAGAATCGTCTCGTGTGTCCTTGTTAAAGCCGCCGAGTACGTGGAACTTGCCACGGTGGAATACGCACGTGCACTCGGTTCGGCCAATTGACATGTGTGACAACGTTGTCCACTTGTCCCTTGCCACGTCGTACGCCAACGTTGATTTCAGCCAGTAATTGTCCCTATTCTCTCCGCCGGCGACCACCACTGTCCCGTCCTCCGCCGCCGATGCCGCGCATCCGAAGAACCTTCGATTCTCGCCTGGCATGTCGGCCCCGCGCCTCCATGTGGCGGATAAGAAGTTGTAGATGAAAACTGAATTCTGAAACTGCCGTGTAACCGGGTCGAGACCGCCTATCACCGCCAGCTCCGGTCCAATTCCGACTACGCTACAGAACACCGGCATCCCTTCCACCATCTCCGGTATCGGCGGAATATCGCACCAACGTCTTTTCACCGGCTCGAATAGCGTGAGCCGGTAAAACGGTGGATCCGATTCTGTTAAACCATCCATTCTCTGAGCCATGACAATGACAGGTCGGGTTAGAGCAGAAGCTTTCCAGAAGCGGCGGCAGAATTCCGGCTGCTTAATCAGAGCGTTCCATGCTCTACACACAGATGCAGCCTTGGATAACTGATCAACCGAAATCCGAATAAGACATTCATGAGCTACGTCGTTGGGAAGACCGGGAATCAGCTCCATTGAAAGAAAACAGAGAAAAGCAAGGGATCGGTGAGCAGAATTATATTTGAGAGTTTTGGGTTCTTCAAACAATAAATACCAATGTATAGTAGCTTTGTTAGGGTTGGCGAATTCTAAGTTGTATGGGATCCAAACTTTTATAAACTTTACAAATGGTGTATGTTCTAGGTTTGCATTGTAAGATAGTAATACAATTTCTAATAGAATATATTGTTTCCTACTTTCTTATTAGTATTATAATTCTATATTCAAATATTGTAAAACTGTATAATATTATCCCTAATAGAATATATTGTTTCCAGCTTTCTTATTAGTATTATAATTCTTACCCCAGAATATATTGTTTTCAGCTTTCTTATTAGTATTATAATTCTATATTCATATTCCTATTCAAATATTGTAAAACTGGATAATACTATCCCTAATAGAATATATTGTTTCCAGCTTTCTTATCGTACTACAATTCTACATTCAAATTTCTATTCATAATACAATACAACAATATTAAAATTGAAAAATTATAAAATACTCCTCCGTACCATGCAACTATATATATTAGATTGAAAATGTTATAAAATATTGTAAAATTTTTTTACATGTCAATCATTATAAATCAAAAGGCATGATAACATTTTCTTTTGTAAATAAAATAATAAGGGGGCGTTTGGTTCATGGAATCTTGGATTACCCCAGGTATTAAGATTACCTCTTTGAAGGTAATGTGAGATTTTGGGAATGTAAGATTACCTTGTGTGTTTGGTTTGGATGGTGTAATATAATATTACTTTGTTTGGTTCAGGGTTATATTTTAGGTTATATGGATCAATTTACAATAATGCCCTCAATATATATATATATATATATATATATATATATATATATATTATGTGTGTGTATTTATTTACATCTATGAATGTATATCAAAGCTTAAATATTTAAAAAACTAAATATATAAATATACACATATATATATTTAATTATATAAACATATATTATTATTATTATTATTATTATTATTATTATTATTATTATTATTATTATTATTATTATTATTATTATTATTATTATATAAGGACTAGTTAATGAGGGCAAAGTTGGAATAATTCAAGGTAATCTAAGATTACCTAAAAAATTGGGGGTAATCATATTACCTTGAAACATTACCGCCACATCAGCTTTCAAGTAATATAACATTACCTAGTAATCTCATAACTTGAACCAAACAAGGTAATATAACATTACCAGACTCAGATTACCTAGGTAATCTAAGATGACCTGAACCAAACGCCCCCTAAAATTATTTGTCACTACTTCAATTCAACAATATTATTTCAATTCTTATTCGTACTACAATTCTACCTAGGTGGAGGGTTCGAAAACCACTCTGAGCTACCTGGCATAGTAACAAATTGCCTAACTAACAGATGAGTTGCCTAATTCGCAGATCGCAGATTGTTTAGCAAAGACTAAACTACTATGAGTAAGTAAGTTTTTAATTTCGTGCATAACTAGAAGAAAGGAAGAGTTTTCTATGTTTGCATTGAACCCTTGTACCACTTGGAGAGAATTGACCTTAGTGATCACTCTGTCCATATTTAATGTTTTTAGCCAGTTAAGAGATTCTTTGATTGCTACTGCCTCGGTCTCCTTTGAAGTGTAAGTTCCTTTCCATTGAGAGTCCTCAATAGCAATAAAAAGACCTTGACTATTTCTAAGAACACGTACACCCAAACCCCATTTGACTTTACTTTGCCAAATGTTGCTCTGATCTGACCTATTTCTAGATGTCCTCCTCCCTTTGTTCACCACATATAACTCTATAGCATTTTCGAGAGAAAATTTTGATGGGATACATTGATTTCATTCTCTCTATGCTAGCTTTATTATCTACTTGGGAATTGGTTTCACTTCAACATTTTAAAATCCTTATATCCCATGATAGATTATTATTGTATATAATTCTGCGGGCATTCAAGCTAGCTAGCTAGTTGCCATCCTCACTATTAAATGGAATTCAAAAATCAAAGTAGCTTGGCAATCTCATACTATCTTTGACCAAAATTCATTCAGTGTGGCAATATAACTATTTATATATATATTGTTATTATGAATTGACTGGTCTCATTCCGCATTAAAAAATTTACTTATTAATTAAACACAAATTATATATTGTCAAATACAAATTTTTGAACTCCATCGTTATTGTTAAATTAAAGAGTAGATATTACAATGCAAATTAGCAGATCATAAGTGTTATTAAAACTTCATAAAAGTTGATTTATAAACAATCGATAGACGAAAAAGTTGATTCATAGACAATCAATAGACAAATATTGTGACATTATGAATATTACAAATTTTTGAGCAATAAAAATATAATGCATTAATATTGTGTGTATCTCCAAATTAAACATAAAGCATGTGAAAGGAAAAATAGTTTGGGTGAAACTTTTAAATAGATTTAAATTATAAAAGAATCCTGTTTAGTGGAAATTTATAGTGAAATTGCACTAATATTGTGTCTATTTTCAAACGTAAAGCATGTGAACAGAAAAATAGTTTGAGTGAGACTTTTAAATAGATTTAAAATTATTAACAAATTCAATATAGTAAAAAATTTATAGTGAAATTAAATACTAATGAAAAAAAGAAATATATTTCAATTCTCAAACGTTTTGAAACACACTAGTAAATACTAAATAGTACATTGTCTGTGTATGTATATATACAATAAAGTTTTTATTTTAAAAGATTATTGTAGTTTCTCTAATTTTTTTCATGCATAGCATGAATAGATTACTAGTTTAAATTAATAAGGGACTAAAACTCTAAAAAGAGTATATTATTCATTTATTTTTATGAAATACCTCCAATTTAATATCTATGGACTTTAATTCTCTTACTTAACCTTTTTTTTTTGAAATATTCATAATCTTTTAGCAGTATCACCCAAAGAAGAATCTAAGTCTCTACCGGAGCGTTATGCTGTGCATCCGTATGCACCATGCATAATGCATACGGATGCAAAAATGACGTCGTTTTGGCGTCTAACTTAAAAAATAATAATTCAGAATTGCATAACTACACATCCATATTTCACTACACTTCCATAATTTCATAACTATACATCCAGAATTGCATAATTATACTTCCAGAATTGTATAACTACACTTCCAGAATTGCATAACTACACTTCCAGAATTGCATAACTATAATTTCAGAATTGCATAACTACAATTTCAGAATTGCATAATTGAATAACTACACTTCCAGAATTTCATAACTAAAAAATCCAAAATGAATGAACTAAAAATGAATAACATAATGTTGTTGCTGGGAATCGAAACTGATTTTTTTTTTTTTAAAGTATGGCGCGCATTTTATGCAAAACAACGTCGTTTTTGCATCCGTATGCACCATGCAGGGTGCATACGGATGCACAGCATAATTTGCCGTCTCACACACACACACACACACACACACACACGATCACCCATTGCCATAGCATTATATGGCTTACTTAACTTTACTTCCACTTTAGTCAAATACTTATGTACAAATCTCTAATCTCTAATAGAAACTTAAAACAATTGAAATGCATGCATCACATTTTCGCCATATATGTTCTTTCCAAAATATATTGTAAACACGAAATGTAACACATTGTAAATCATTGAATCTAAATAATCTAATTAAGACATATGTATTCAAAAAAGAAAAAGAAAAAAGAGTGTCTGTCACGCTATTTTAAGGGCAAAATAAAATTGTTCCTTTTAAATGTGTATACAACAACTGAATTGAACGCCGCCACAATACTCACTTGGGATTTTTACTTTGGTCCATTTCTTAGTTTTCAATTCCAGCACATAAGCTCTCTTAGCTTCATGACCATATTTTACACTTCGAATAACCATCATATTCCCCGGCCACCCTGTCACATATGTCGCATAGAATGTATCTTTTGGGATTTTTGCGACAAACACCCACGTGGTGTCCACTAGTGCAACCACGTCACGTCTTCCCTTGACCGTGTATATTACTCCGCCGATATCTACATAGGTAGACTGAAACGGTATGATGGTGTAGTCTGTAACTATGTCGGTTACGCGCCACTGGCGGGTGACAAGGTCGAGTGTTTCGACGATTTGTTTGGAATCGTCTTGTGTGTCCTTGTTATAGCGGGTGAGTACGTGGAACTTGCCACGATGGAACACGCACGTGCATTCGGTTTGCCCAATTGACATGTCTGACAACGTCGTCCACATGTCCCTTGCCACGTCGTACGCCAAGGTTGATTTCAGCCAGAAATTGTCCCAGTTCCTTCCGCCGGCAACCACCACTGTCCTGTCGTCCGCCGATGCCGCGCATCCGAAGAACATCCGATCCTCTCCTGGCATGTCGGCGCCGCGCCTCCACGTGGCGGATAAGAAGTTGTAGATGAAAACTGAATTCAGATGCTGATGTGTCACCGGGTCGAGACCGCCTATCACCGCCAGCTCCGGTCCAATTCCGACTACGCGACAGAACACCGGCATCCCATCCACCATCTCCGGTATCGGCGGAATATGGCTCCATCGGTTTTTCACCGGCTCGAATAGCGTGAGCCGGTAAAACGGTGGATCCAACTCTTTTAAACCATCCATCATCTGAGCCATGACAATGACAGGTCGGGTTAGAGCAGAAGCTTTCCAGCAGCGGCGGCGGAACTCCGGCTGCTTAATCACAGCGTTCCATGCTCTACACACAGATGCAGCCTTGGATAACTGATCAAACGAAATCCGAATAAGACATTCATGAGCTACGTCGTTGGGAAGACCGGGAATCAACTCCATTGAAAGAAAACAGAGAAAAGCAAGGGATCGGTGAGCAGAATTATATTTGAGAGTTTTGGCGAATTCTAAGTTGTAGCTTTGTTAGGGTTGGCGAATTTTATAAACTTTACAATTTTGGAGTTTTTTTTTTTTTTTTTGGAAAGAAGCAATACTAGCTTTGTAATATGT